CAGCGGGGCGCTTCCCGCCTTTTGGGCAGCACTGAGGGCTCAGGAGCACCCTCCGCTCCAGCTGCGGGATGATCGGCCCCCGAGGTGCCCGTGGCAGCTGCGCGGTCCCGTCCCGTTACAATGAAAGAATCTTGCTCTCCAGAACCACCTCTGGGATGGTGCCTGCTCACAGGCAGAGGCCAAAGGGGATGGTTATGGAACAACAGGGCTCTTCATAAACTCCTGCGGGTGTCTAATTTATGTCATTAAGTGGTTTGAGGGCCCCGTGTGAAGGGCTGAAAGTTTGCGTAGTTGGAGGCAGCCTTTGGCGAGGCTGACGTGGAAACGGGTGTCAGGATCGGCTGAGGTTGCAGAGCAGGTAAATAGTGGAGTGGCTTTTACCTCTTGTTCCAGTCAGTGCCCTCTGTGTCCGCTTCAGTCATGTTGTTCCTGTTCTGGTTAACTGGTGACTGTAGTTGCGTGTTCGTCTGTGTGTGGTTGAATGCTTATTTTTCTTCAAGGGTCGACTTCAACTTCTAAAACTAAAGGTTTTTTTTCCTCTTCCTAGAGAAGCCATTTTGATCGAATTCATCATGGTCTCCAGGGAATTTGTGCAGTGTCGCAAAGGACCTATGCTGATCAAGGTGATTAATTGTGAAGAATTTCTCAGGCCAAAAAACCAACACACCCCCACCACTCTCCCCCCCAAAAAACTTAAAAAAACAAAGCAGTGTTTCAAACTCAGAAATCAGCCTTCCAGGTGATGGGGAATCCATGTCAGTATGGAGATTTAGATGAAAAATAGTGGCTTATTTGCCATATTTGATGTTGAGCTAAAGCTATAAATAGAAGTTGAACTTTATATAACATAGGAACAGTGATGGTAATTAATATTCCAAAGGAGACTGTGGTTATGAGATATTAATTGGGTACAAAGTTCATAGCTTCTGCTGTGTTTGCAATCGATAGAGATTGCATAGATATCTCTTTCTGCCATATTTTCTCCTTTATAAGCTACTGATTTTATGGCTTCAGTAAGCATTTATCTTTTGCACTAAACATCAATAGAAGCTATGTTGGAAAATATTACAGTAAACTATCCAGACATCTTGGGTTAAGTTCTTAAAGGATTTGTAGCAGGATGGATGGGTCAGACAGAATTCAGTTGCCTTGTTTCATTTTACATTATTTTCCCTGTAAAATTTGAGACTGGTTGTTTTTATTGCAGAGCGAATACCTCCATGCAACCTTTCCTTTTGTCCAGGAGGTTACTCTCAGATGTGAGGTGTAATTTACTTCTCTAAACCTAGTTCATTAAGTTGCATCATTTTCAATAGCCATTTTACTTTTTTTAAAAAAAAATATTTTTTCAGACATGAATTAATTCAGAAATTATAATCTGGTATTCCTGCAGTAAAACGTTAATTGCTGAAACAAAAATAACTCAAATGTTCTCTCTTTCAGTTGATGCCGATGTCACAGTTATTGGCTCTGGTCCTGGAGGGTATGTTGCCGCTATCAAAGCAGCTCAGCTTGGATTTAAGGTAAGATGAGACCTCACTCGAGTAGCAGAATATTCATCCAGATGAACTTGGAAGATGCTTGTGTGATACTGAAAAACTGAAATTCTTCTGTCACATCTTGGGCCACCAGATGCTGTTGACATGTCAATACTCTTTCTTTACCTTGCTTACCCAGATTATATGAAGGTATTGCTGTCTATAGCCCTGCTAGGCTACTGACAAAGCTGCTCAGGACAGCTTGCTTTTGATTAGAAGCGATAACTGAAGTGGGCTTATACTTTCATGGAAGAGAAGGTGGGAAAAGAATGCTAGGAAGGAATTTTTCTCCCAGCAAAGAAAAGGAGGGGGGCAGGAGGGGGGAATCGAGACTGTGACAAAAAGGCCACTGAAAAACTCCTGAAGAACAGACCGAGGGAACTCAAGAGGAAGAAACAATATTCAACTGATTGTGTTTTTTCAATGTGAATAGAGGAGTTCCATTGCTATGTGAAAATTTTAGAGGCGAAACTATGTCTGTAGAAATACTAGAGTATGTAATTTACATTTATGTTCATCTGTTTTCTGTCTGTTGTCTTTGAATGCCCTTTGAAAGAGGCAACTTTTGTCTGATGTGTGCTAATGATGTATCATTTAATTGAGTATTGCAAGAGTTATATGTGCATAGTGCATTTCAGGTTTTCTAAACTTACGAAAATACAGAGTGTGACTTCAGCAGCATATTTTTTTACCTTCACTCCTTAATATGAGACCAACCTACTCTCTTGGCACTGCGTTATTCTTCTCTTAATTATTTTGAAATCTGAGAAGGTGGTGCTAGCAGTCTTGAGCGTGTTCAAGATGGCTGATATGTCCCAATGCTTCTGAATTAAGACATCTGGACTTCATGACAAAAATGAGTTGATTAGACGACCTGGGAAGGACAGGAATGCCTGTTGATGAGTGGAGTTCCAGTGAAACACTGGAAGGGGGGCCCAGATAGCGTGTAGCCTTCACCCTTAGATATTTTCAGAACTTGGCTGTACGAGGCCCTGAGCCACCTGATACATGTTTGATGTGGACTGTCTTTGGAGCAGGAGCTTTGACTAGGTGGCCTCCAGAGGAGGTCCCTTCAACCTAAACTTCTCTGTAATTTTGAGGGTTCTCTCTTCTTGCCCATTACTCCCACAGGTGTGTTTCAGTGATGTCATCTTTGGGTCTCTTTCAGCCTTCTAATGTGTAACTGTACCAAAATACAAATGTTTCAGATTCCATTAAGAAGTTTTACGTCTGCCTGTGACCTAGTGCCGGTGATAGAGTTGTCTTTATCCATGTTCGTGAATTTTTTTTTTTCTTAATAAATGCTCTTGCTTCTAGATATATGTTGTTACTGAGCTATTAGTACCTGAGAAAAAACATGCTCACTGCTACAGGTTTTAATTGAGATTGAGGCCTTCTCCCATGTAAGTTCATGTTTGTTTATTCTAAAGCTATTTTTTTTGGCTATATGCCTGCTTTTCTTGGAGCAACACTGTGCTCGGGTCCTTCGTATCTGTGGTTAGCAATAGAATACCATATACAAGGAGGTTAAAAAGTGCCCTGGATTCTGTTTTTCATCATAGCAATGGTACCCTGGGGTGTATTAGGAGGGGTGTGGCCAGCAGGGCGAGGGAGGTTCTCCTCCCCCTCTACTCTGCCCTGGTGAGACCCCACCGGGAGTACTGTGTCCAGTTCTGGGCT